AATCTGCTCCTTCCACACCTTTGCATATCTTGCAGGATAACAACGAAGAGTATAAAACAACGGAAATAAATTCAATCAACGACAAAGAAAACATTTATTTTCCACGGATTAGTAAACACGTCCTTCATTTTCTACTTATTTCGATGCAGATACTTTGTTAATACAAGTTGTTTATGGTATTTGTGCTAACTACATCTAAGATGTAACATCTTGACTATTCATGGTCCCAGATAATTTACGCAATACAAAAATATTGAGTGGTCTACAAACGAAAGAGATGTTTAATTATTCTCATCACATTTACGGAAATTTGCGATGATATAGACGACATGAATATAACTCAATTACCTCCTCCAAATTTACTAAGTACGACTAATCGTTGTCATTCATTTATGTTATTTTCATCTTTAGGTAACGTGATATAGCCCGTTTTTCTCAAGTAATGTTGACGCTGAAATTCTCACAGCTCTCGTGAAGCCCAAGAAGTACAAAGAACCTGCGAAAGAGGAATATCCTAAACGCTTTCCTCATGAGAAAAACATGAAGATAGGTGGTATGTTTCAGGAAAGGCGGTATATCTTTGAAATGAACCATTCACAAAGTAGGTATATTTTGGTGTAGGTTCGGCACTTCTTTTGATATATATTTTCAGACCATTGAGACGAATATTTACTAAGTCATGCTACTATAGATACACTTATTAAAGAAATAGATCGTACGTTGTTTGGTCAAAGTCCTCATCGGTGGACGCAGGAAGCTATTTGGGTTATTCAGATAGCTGCGGAGAAATACCTGCAACGTGTGTATCAAACGTGCTCGTTTTGTCTACATTGTCTTGACTGTGACACTTTGACTCCATCTGTATTCCTACCCTCAACTTACCTGGGTGACGAAAAAGTCAATAGTCTACTTCGTTATCGTACTTTCGATTTATTGGGCTACAACGTAACGTTCCCTACTACAGTAGCTAATCGTACTCAGTACGAAGCAGAAGGTCTACGTGCAGCTGAATATACGTATCTGGGAGAAGGCAGTAGCAGATCACATCAGTCTCTGGGAAATCAAGAAAAAAAGGAAGTCACCAACTAAGAGAAGACTTACGAAACGCAATCTTGGAGTAAAAATGCATTTTAGACTTTCATGTTTATCACTTTTTCTTCCAGATTATTTTTTCTGCAATTTTTTACTACTTGGTGAGTACCGCATGTCAGGACCGCATGCCAATTCTAACATCAGGGAGGCTTTGACTCGTCTTGCCAGGACCGTTTATGCCGCGTTCGCTAGCCAGACTGCTGCTGATGATTACACCATGCTAGTGCAGGAGTACGAGGCTGCCAAGGCTAACCCACTTGCCTAATGACTAGGGATGTCAAGAACAACTGTCTGTGCTCGCAAGGTACAGCATGTTATTCTTTTTTCATGTACTTTGTTGTATTTCAGACTTATATTTCTGGCTGAAATTGGATGCCGATATGCGAGGGTTTCTCTTGTATCCGAGCTGTTTTCTCGATTCCTGTACACTTATTGATCAAAGTGTAATCCAAGCTATTAAAGTGGTATTCAGACGTTATCTAGACCGCTTGAATTATGTACTCATGAATCATAAGTTACGATGAAGTCGCTGATGCGTTTGT